CCGCAAACAGCCACACCAAGGGACACCAAGTGCCTGCGCAGCCAGAGCTCCGCACGCAGCTTCACCCCCTCTGCGTTCAGACCAGCCCTCACGCCGCATCCAGACACAGACCTCTACTCGCCCTAGGAAAGGGTCAGTCCTTTCCCAATACCAAGATGATTTTTTTCCCCACCAAAACTGCTTTTTGAACCCATGTAAACTGACCTGTATCAGGTGAAAAAAGTATTTGCTGTTTGTCTCAAGCCTGTAAAGCTTTTCCAAGCATTGCTTACTGGGTAGAGCATGGGGAAGGAGAGGAGGGAGGGCAAGACCCAGGCCCACCCCAGTTCTGCCACCAAATCGACCCTGGATTTGGCCAAAACCACTTCACCCTTTTGTTTGGTTGTCCCGGTCCACAGGGCAGCAACGGCAAAGCACCGCTCTTGGAGTGTCCTGACTAACCACTTGCAAACACCCGGGAAGTCTGAGCCACCCTGCATTCTGATGCCCTTCAGGTGGCTTAAGGACCTTTGAAACTTTCAAAATACTGAATGTCAGGTGCTAAAATCTCTGACGTACTGTGCTGACACGGGGCTGCCTTTGCTCACACGCTCACAAACGGGCTGGTGAGTCCGGTGCTGTCTGCAGGATGGAAAATTACTGCACCTGTAATTCTGAGGACAGAAATCAGTGTCCTGGGCGCTGGAAGCATCACTGGAAAGTGTTTCCCAGCTCCCCTGGTGAGGCGCAGCCTCTCGCACTCAGCCTGGCAGTCACTGCAGCTGTTGAACGGAGCATGGACACTGCTCCTGGCACAGCAATCACATAGTGACTGGAGCCAGGCAAGTGTCACAGAGAATTAAATTTCTGCACCGAGTCTTTCCCTGCAAATGTTCGGGAGAGCGAAGCTTGCTCTGCCAGACCACGGGAAGGCCAATAGCGAAGAGCAAATGTGAACTGTCACGGGCGGCTGCAGCTCCTGCAGCAAAGTGCAAACGGGCAGAGGGCCTGAAAACCCATGTCCCGGAGCAGTTCCCTCCCCCCAGGTCTCGACCCCAAATCCAGGCCTTTCTGGTTTTGCAGTGACAAAACACTTGGATGCAGGGTTGGGAACGTTGTGGTTCAACCCCAGCCAGCAGCTCAGCACCACCCGGTGGGATGGGGGAGAGAATAGAGGGAAAAAAAAGAGCAAAACTTGTGGGCTGAGATAAAGACAGTTTAACAGGACGGAAAGGAAGAAAATAATGAAATGGTAATAATAAAAGAATTAGAATATACAAAACAAGTGATGCACAGTGCAATCGCTCAGCACTCACTGACTGGTGCCCAGCAGCGACCCGTCCCTCCCAGCCAGCTCCCCCCAGTTCAGGGACGGGGTGTGACATCGTGGGACATTCCTTGGCCAGGCCAGGTCAGGTCCCCTGGCTGTGCCCCCTCCACTCCTCGTGCCCCCCAGTCTTCTGGTGGCAGGGCACAAGAAGCTGAAAAATCCTTACCTTGGTATAAAGGCTGCTTAACAACAACTAAAACCATCTGCGTGCCATCAACATTGCTTCATACTACATCCAAAACACAGCACTACACTGGCTACTGGGAAGAAAATTATCACAGTCAAAACCAGGGCAGGGAGCAAGGCAGAAACCAGCAGTTTTTGTAGAAATTTCTCTGAAAGCTAGAGGCAAGGTTACTTTTCTAATTGAATAAACAGCATCTGCAATCTGTTAGTCCTTTGAGAAGAGCCAGACAGATCTGTGCGAGGGAATAAAGGCCTGATGAAGTGTTCTGGTTCTCAGCTCAAGGGCCACCACCACTTCAGAGGCACTCGATAACACTTTGCTTTCTGAGCTCAAAAGCGAAACCCGGCACAGAGCGAGTTGCCAGGGCGCGGGCATGGAGGCCGCTGCCAGCACCAGGAGAGCCCCCGGGGTGCAGCTCCGTGCCCCTGTGTCCCCACAGCGGGTCTGGACACGGCCCAGCGAGGGTGGGGCGGTGGGAGCCGGTGGCCGGTGCAGCTGCAGGTCCTGCCAGTCGCATTGGCACAATCGTTCACACACACCTCGAGGAAAACGCCAGCCGTGGGTCCCCGGGGACACGGTTACACACCCGAGAAGAGCCATCAGGCAGCGCCTCAGCGCGTCCCCGGGGTTCCCCGCGGACGGCCCCGGCGCGGAGCCCCAGGAGGATGATGGTGTCGGCCCCTGCACGGTGGGGGCTGTGCCCGGGCTCCCACCCGGCTTCCCTTGCCCGTGACTAAATGAGAGGCAGCCGCTTTTCATCCCCACGTTGCTCAGCAGGGCCCTGAGCGTGTTTTGGGCAAACTCGAGCTCTGTGACTGGTAACACCGGTGCTGACCCCTGGCCGCTCCCCGCACCCACAAATTGCCGGTGGCGGCTGGGGCGTCGCTTCTGCCGCTGCCCCCGCGGCCCTTCGGGTATTTCTGTGCCGCGACCTGGCCCCGGGGCTCTCCCCAGCGGAGCTCCCGCGGGCTCTGCTGAGCCGTGGACGGTCTCGGGGCCTCGCACGGCCCTGGCCGCTGCACGGGGACACGCCGCGGGGC